TCCTTTGTAAAAGTTAATCCTATTAGATGATTAAATGAAGCTGAGGTATAGGGGACCCCCAACAATAGGGGGAACACTATTAGTGGTGACTAGAGCCAATGGCAGAGAACCTGGACACTCCACCTCAACCTCCTTAAAAGTACTGGCTTATTCAATTTCTTTCCCTGAAGAAATGGGTTATTTAAATTTTCTTTTTCTTCTTTAATTTGGGTATTTTATATTTTTGTAAATATTTATTTAAGTACCTGATTTTGCCAGCATACTCCTGGGCAAAATAGTTTCTAATAATTTTCATTATTTCTTCATTTGTTTTGAATTCTCCTTTTTCATTTTTGATACTGGTAATTTCTGTTTCCTCTTCTTTTTTAAAAATGAGCTAATTGTTTTATCTCATTGCTTTTTAATTAGTTTCTAGTTTTATTTAATGTTTCCTCCCTTCAATTTTCTTTTTTGTTTTCAACTTTCAAACTCTCCCCCTTGATTTTTAGGATTTCTATTTTGGTGTTTTTTAAAATTAGGATTTAAAAATGTATTGTTTTTCTAGTTTTTTAAGTTGTATGTTCAGTTCATTTTGGTGTTTCTCACAGGAGGTGATTGATGGTTTCTTTCCATTTTAACATTGCTCTCCTGCGTGAATATATCTGGGCAATATTCTTCAATGATTTCTTGAAATAATGATGTCCCAGTCTGGCAGTTTTAAAGATGTAGCCTATACAGACGATCAAAGGAGGTTACTCCCACTCACTTGGTAGGGAAATGCAGAATTGCCTCTATGTTAGGCAACATGAGTGTGTTTCAAGGCACCATTATACCTTCCCTCAATTTGAAATTTGCTATCTCTAGGAAATAAGCCAGGGATGCATTTTTTGCAGCACAGTCCTTATCCCAAATTCAGAACAAGTTCTCAGGAGGCATAAATAATGTTTTTTCACTTGCTAGAGGCAACTAGATAGCACAATGGATAGAGTGCTAGGCTTGGAGTCAGGAAGACCTGAGTTCAAATCTGGCCTCAACACTTACTAGCTGTGTGACCCTGGCCAAATCATTCAACCTCTGTTTGCCACAGTTTCTTCAACTATGAAATGGGGACAATAACATCGCTTACCTTGCAAGGTTGTTGTGAGGGTCAAATGAAATAATATTTGTAAAGCACTCAGCATGGTATCTGACACATAGCAGATGCCATATAAATCTCTATTCTCTTCTCTCTCTTTCCCCTAGTGCCATACAGTAAAGTCTCAAAACAGCTGATGTTGCAAATCACATATAATCCCACATGTACAGATAAAAACCATAATTATTTCCAAATACAAAGTTTTACAAGTTCAACAAAACAAGGAACAAATTTCCCAAATTTCCCAAATATTCCTGCTTGCTTAGCCTTTGACTTACAGGGCCTTTCTCAATTCATAAGCAAAAGAAAGAATAAGGATAAAACTGGCTTTCTGTATCAAATGAAAATCTGGTCCACATTGAGCTTTTTAATTTACATCGAACTCTCCCTACAGGGATTTGGGATGTGGGGTCTATCAAATGTTACCCATTTCTCAAATGAGAAAACTGCACTAAGTGGAAACTCTTCCATAATTCTCACAGCGTGTAAGGCCATCCAACTAGGGTCTTGGAAACAGTGTCCCTTTCTAACACAGTGCACACAAATATTCTTTAGGGGTCCCTCTGTACCATAGTTCAACCCACAGAGGTCTAGGCAATTTCTTCTGGGTCCTTATTCCAAAGGGCACCTAAAATTCACCTCATGGATCCTTGCCACTGCCAAAGTAAACCAAATAGAATTGCAAATTCACCAATTAGGACAAAACAAATAGGCTCAGTTAGAGAAATAGCGAAGAATGTCAGCTACTTGTCAATTTTAGGCATAGACATTCTCATCCTAAGAGGCTGTAGGGCTTTTTTGCCTTTCACAAAAAGGAAGGTAGTCCAGGTCTGCCTAAACACAAAAGAACAAAATGAAGGTGCCTTTTTAAAAAAAAAAATCTATCAAGAGTTGACTATTGGTTATTTCATGCTTAGATTTCTCAATAAAAACATTTGATTGTGCTTTAAATCACACATTTATCACTACTTTTTAAGTTCTACTCAAATCAAATGGATATTTCTATCAGAATATGTATAACTTCCTCAGCTGAATTCATTAAAATAAGTTATTTATAAGATGCAAAAGTGTTAATGAATAACTAAAGTGCTACTGACTAAAAATGTTAAAAATTAAAAATGTTAGAAGCTTGACAGGACTGGTAAATTTAAAGTATTTATGATCAGAAAACACAAACCAACATTTTTTCTATAACACCATTCTATGAAATAGATATATACTAACAAAAAAATTTTTAAATATTGATGCTTACCATGTTTATATATGTCACAATTTGATAAGATAAGTGCTAGTATGCATCTTTCTTTCTCTGTAATAGTAACTTTAATGATCCACAAATATAAATGTTTGTGTGGCTCCTGTTTGTATCTAATAAGGATCTTGTATCATTAGAAAGAACAGAGAATCAATCAGTAGTCACATCAGGCTGGAAATCCAGCAACAAAAATTACAGAGACTTTCCAAGCTACTAAAAAAACCCCAACAGGTCATAAAATGCCATGATAATAGGCAAAGAAGGGATAGTTGAATTTAAGTTTCACCAGCTACCTTTGAATCAGTTTGAAAAGTCTCAGAAAACCTCCAAAGTGTCAAGAAACAGTTATTTAAGCACTAAATCTAAATTCAAATTTAAGCACTAAATTAAATTTAATCACCAAAACCCATTAGATAGTGAGCTTTTTCAGGGCAGGAATTGTCTTTTACTTCTTTTTTTTTCTGTCATAGTGCCTGGCAAATAATAGGCACTGAATATTGATTGATGATGAATCTCAAACTTCAAAAGAAATACTAAATGTAAATACAATTTTAAATCAATTGTAAATCACCATCACTGCCTCTTTTCCATCTCTCTAGCCTTTTGTTCTTTTCACATATAGCTGCTTCTGGTAAAGACACAAAGATTTTGACATGGAGTCTTTAAGTCTAGCTATTCCAACAGTACAAGAAAGTGAGCTCTTGGTTTATCCTCTTGTGCCATGTTATCTTTCTCTATTTTTCTACTCTGTGGCTCTGTTCAACTCTATAGTGTTGTGTTCTGCTCTTGACTAATAGCTTCCATGAAGGATCAGAAAAGTCACTTATGACTGAAAAAAGGCAGGATGGGGAAATGGTCTCCACTTTGCTTCTTTTATGGCTTCTATTAAGACATTTGTGAACAACTGAGTGGAAGTAGGGTCAGTTTTAAGAAAAATTCCAGTCTTCACTATTTTCTTCCCCTAGGTGTTGCTGCTCTCCTGCCCCAGGTGTCCAGGGCTCTTCAAAAACATGGAGAAGGTTCTGTGGAAATTATGGCAACTGAGGTAGGCCTTGAAGAAAGGAAACAATTTCAAGAGCAGAATTTAGGGGGAAGGGGGAATCCATTCTAAGAATAGTTGACAGTATACACAAACAGACAAAATGAGATATGGGAATTCTGGGTAGTCTGGGTTGGCTGGCAGAGATAGTTTAGCAGTTATTCATTTCAGGTGTATCTGAAATTTAATGGGGACAGAAGTCTTAAGCTAAGGGTAGTAAAATTTAAGGGCCTAGCTACTAGATGGGAAATGTATATTTATGTAACAATGGTGTTATCTTCTTAGTCTCTGAAAATCATGCCCTGGAGGTAGCATGAAGTAGGCCTTTTATACATCTCCTTATTAGTCTTGAACAAAATTGTACCCATGTCTACCCACTTAACTATTTAAGAAACTAAATCCCCCAACCCAGGAGAATATTACTGGAGCTATGGCTTTACTGTTGACAACAGCATTCTTTCAGAAAGTAAGGTTTTATTGCATGCTACTCCTGAACATTTAAGGTCCAATGAGACTTGCTTCTATGCTATATAATTATAATGACTACAACTGACCTGGAAGAGATGAGAAAGTGCACTTTTCTCCCTTCTTTGCAGAAGCAAGGGATTGCAGATTTGGAACAATGGCACTCTAGGGACTGTCAGACAGGATGGATATGTTTGTTAGTTTTGCAGAACTGCGTTTTCCCTCTGCTATTATTCTGACTAGTTGGATGAGTGTTAAGAAGGGGTGCATTTGGAAATGAGGTGATATAAAAACAAAAACTATAAAAGATATTTTAGAGATTTACTTCTAAAATTCATAAGACTGGGAAGCCACAATACAGCTACAGAAACCCTAAACAGCTCTGATTATTTTTACTCATAAGCTGGCTTCTACCCAAGCAGTCCTGCAGGTGCCCTTACTAAGAGTGGGCTGAGGTTCCTTCCAATTCTAGGATTTTGTGATCTGAAGGGCAGTCCCTTTGTAAAATTTATCTTGAGTGCTCAGAATTTAATTCCAGAAAACCCCATGATATGGCACTAATAAATTAGTCTACAACTCTCAGTGGCTAGTCCATTGTAGCCAACTTTTGTATAAGCTAGATTTTTTTTTTGTATAAGCTAGATTTTTTTTTGGGTATAAACTAGATACTAACAGTATTGAAGATTTTGGTGCTAGTATGAAGCCTTTCTCCACTGCAATTTTGATACATTGAGTAATACCTGACTGTTTGATGCAATGAAGCAATATGGCATATCAGATAAAGAACTGGACTTGGAATTTAGGAAGACCTGGATTAAAGTCCCTTCTCTGAGAAATACTGGCTGGGTGATCTGTGGCAAGTTATTTAACCTTTCAGTAACCCAGGTAACCCTCTAATACTATAAATTTTAGAACAACTGTTGATCTGTAGGATTTTCCTTACAAGGAATCTCCTATATCAGTGAAAAATCTGGACCAAAGATGATGGAATACTTTCCTATGGTAGTTACAAAGAAACAGATTTTTTTTTCCATTGTGGACTCCATGATGTCAAATGAGGCTTGTCCTCTGAATAAAAGCTTTCCCACACTCTTTACACTTACAGAGTCTTCTCCTATGTGGATTCTCTAGTGCTGAATAAAGCTAGCTGTTCCACAGAAGGTATTTCCACACTTATCACACTGATAGGGTCTTTCCCCAGGACATATTCTCTGATATCCAATAAGATCTGACTTCTGTGTGAATGTTTTCCCACATTTATTACACTTATAGGATTTTTCTCCAATATGAATTCTCTGATGTTCTGTGAGCCTCCTCTCTGAATGAAGGTTTTTCCACAATCATTACAATTGTAAGGTTTCTCTCCAGTGTGTGTTCCCTTATGTTGAACAAGTATGGAATGTCGACTAAAACTTTACCACACTGATTACACTGATATGGTTTTTCTCCAGTGTGAGTCTTAAGATGATTAAAAAGACCTGACTTCTGGCAAAAGGCTTTCCCACACACATTGCCTTGGTAATGTTTCTCTATACAGTGTATTCTCTGATGCTAAATAAATTCTGAACTCTGAAAGTTTTTCTACACTTATTACGTTTATAAGGTTTCTCCCCAGTGTGATGTTGAACAAGGACTGACCTATATCTGAAAGTTTTACCACATTCTTCACACTTATATGGTCTTACTCCTGTATGGATTTTCTGGTGATGAAAAAAGTCTGGCCTCTGATGGAAAGGTCTCCCACAGATCCCAAATTTAAAAGGTTTCTCTGTGAATTCTCTGATACTGAATGAGGTCTGCATTCTGCATGATGCTTTTCCCACATTCATCACATTTATGTTGCTTATCCCCTATGGCATTTACCTTCTGGATTCCCCGTGTTCTCTTAGGATCATAGGTTTCTCTATACTCAGGACCTTGGGAAATGTTTCCAATGACTGTTCCACATATCTCCATGTGTGATTCTGTTTCTTCTTGAATTTCAGGCTTTGAAGCTAACTCCCTATTCTCAATCCTGGTTTCATGATTTGAAACAATCAATATAATTATGTCACCTATTTTCTGTGTTCAAAAAAGGGAACTTGCTTTATGGGAAAGAGATAGTTTAAATAAACTGTGTACGTGTGAGCAGTTAATAAGTGACTGCAAAATGGGATCATTATATGAAAAGAAGTGACAAAACTCAAAGCCCAAATGCTGGGGGCCAGCAGGAGAAGTAGGGGTAGAAGGGCAGGGAATATGGTAATAATATGGTATCCAATAGAGAAGGCTAAATTCAGAGAAGGTGTGGCAGGACCAGTTTCTACCAGGACTCCTGCCACATAAACTAAGCTAATTTTTTTTTTTCTGTAAAGAGCAGAGAAACTGACCCTGAAGCTTGAATGCCCCGGAGCACTAGGGCTCAAGTCACTAGTGTTTCTTCCTAATTCCTTAATGCTATGCCACATAGGCGGGGACAGTTTTTCCTAAGGAACTACTAAGTCAGCTAGATGAGTTTTCCCCTATAAGGCAGGAAAACGGATATAGGAAACTAGGATTTGAGTTACTAACTTGGCTTCCTGGTCCCTTCTTGCCTTAAAAAGACTAGCCTAGAAGAAGTCGATCACTCAGACATGAGTGATGTCTTATTGCCATATGAATCAGCATATCCTGCTGACCAAAATGGAAACAAGAGGGCTAAATCTACCTCAACCAGTGCAGTAACCTTGCTGAGTATTCTTTCCATGTTATTGTTAAGTACACTTTTTAAAAGTGGATGGTCAGGGCAGCTAGGTGACAACGCAGTGTACAGAGTACTGGCCCTAGAGTAAAAAGGACCTCTCAGACTAGACACATAATACTTACTAGCTGTGTGACCCTGGGCAAGTCACTTAACCCTAATTGCCTTGCCAAAAAGATAAAAAAATAGAAGTGGATGGTCAATGATTATTTAATTTTATTCTAATCTAGCTTGAGACCAGCTTGAGTTAGGCCTAGTCTACCACAGAGGGCTTCAATTCATTAGGAAGATAATAAAGTCATAAGAAAAATATCAATATTCAAATTATAAGTGGCTGCTACAAATATTTCTGGGGCAGCTATTTGGTGTTGGGCCTGAGTTCAAATATGACCCCAGACACTTATTAGCTGTGTCACTTAATCCTGTTTGCTTCACTTTCCTCATCTATAAAATGAGCTGGAGAAGGAAATGGCAAACCACTCTAATATTTTTACCAAGAAAACCCCAAATGGAGTCATGAAGAGTTAGACACAATTGAAATGACTTAACAGCAATAACAACAAATATTTTAGTGGATTAACTGAAGGAAGAGGCTTGCAGATTGAAAAGAGCCCAACAGATAGCAAGTCTGGCAGAAGTAAAGCAAAATCACAAGGAGAATTTTAAAGTAGGGGAATCTAGCAATGGCTAAGAAAACATCAATAATGATAAACACATTTATATAGTGCTTTAAGGTGTTATAAAGCACTTTCTACACATCAACCCCATGAGATTAGGAGTTGCAATATTACTGTCCACATTTTACAAATGGAAAAACCAAGAATCAGAGAGATAAAGTGACTTTCTCAAAGTCACAGAGCTAATAAGATTTGGAGTTGTAATACTAAAAAGGAATTTTGAACAGGAAGAGAGACTAAATAAGACTAATCAATAGAATGGGAAAGGCTAGGAAGTGGAGAGGGTAGTAGCTGGAAAAGTGAAAGGTGAAGGTTAGTAGTAGAATAAGATTGATGTGGATTAAATGCGTGAGTAGGAAGTGGTTAGGGATTATATAACAAAACTTGTCTTGCATTCCCTAATTTGAAGACTGGGAAGGAAAAGGATTTCTCCAATACTTAATGCAGAACTTGCCTTCTCAACAGATCTGAGAAGTCACAGAATCAAATGAGTAGATATGTTTATTTCACACAGGACCTTTTCTTTCAGAATCTAAGAAGTTGAGAGAGAGGTAATAAACAAGTACATTGTATTGAATAATTTGAATTGAAGCATTTAAAATACATACCTGTACTCAGACTTGTACACAGATCTGGAGAGGGTCAAAATCTACAGAGTGATTAAGAAGTAGCAGCATACCTTCTCTTGGTCACCTTGCTCAGGTTTGGGTTTCCAGAGGAAGTGGGTTCCCAGTTAAAATCCCCCCTTTCACCAATCTCTTGAAAAGTATTAGATTCTTGAGATTCACCCTTTACCTGCACTTGATAGAGGTTAGAATTTGGGGATTCTTGAGCAGCTTCCAGGGACACTCTTCTAAAATTTGTTCCTGCCCATGTAGACCAGTTTGGGACCTGGGATTAATATACAATTGGGATCATGAGATAATTATTATGGGAAATGGAGTTAAAACTTCAGAGAACATTCCTAAAGAACATGGTAGAGAAAGAAGAAACCTAAATATCATTCAATTTTCTAAGGGTGATGAGAGTGGGGTAAAAGAGATAAGAAATATACAGAGATCAACAGTTCCATTTAGATCTAATGGAGATTTTATTCCTCTCATTGCTGTGGCTTGCCTGAAGTTATATGTCTCTCTCTTTCCCTAAAATTTGTTGCAACAGATTGTAACTCTCCCCTTCACCTTGCCTTCTGAGTTGGTTAATCAAGCTCTTTCTCTAAATCTTCCAGCATATTCACTAATTCCTCTCCACTCTCAAGATGATACACCCACATCTGGAGCTCCTCAGGCAGTATAGTCATGAACTGCTCCAACACTAGGATTTGTTCCTTTGTATGCATTTCTGGCCTTAGCCATTGGTGGCAAAACTCCCAGAGTCTGCCTCACAAAGGCCAGGGGTTTCTTCATAGCATAACTGCCTGAAGCATTCATGGAAGATCACCCAACCAGGGAGATTGTTTCCTGATGACAAGCTTTCTGACTCAAGGAATGGTCTTCTTCTTTCTTCACTATTAAAGGACAATTCCGTTCCCTGAGAACTTGTAAGAAAGGGGAAAGGGTTGCTGATTCATTCCACTCCACAGTCATCCTGTCCTTGATTAGCTCATAAGGCAACACAATTCAACTGAGAGGATTACTGCTTCAGGACTACTCCTGTGGCATAAGAAATGATTGTTTAACATAGGAATGATCATCTATATAGAGTTTAATGAGGGCTGGTCAAAAAGGAAATTTCTGGAAGAAAAGAGATCTCAGATTACAGTCCTCACATAAAGTGATTGTAATATTTGCTTAGCTGTCCACCCAGAAGTGGACAGAAAATACAGCAATAGTGCCACAAGAATGGTGCTATTTCGTTAGTGAAGTCCAGGGCTCTAGAAATGTTTCCAGTTTAGGCTGGATATATAAAATTTCCTATGTAAGTGTAACTTACATGTATACTAACTTTATGATTTACAAAGCACTTTCACATAGCAATCTTATTTCCATTTCACAGATGAGGAAAGTGAGGCTCAGAAAAGTTAGGGGACATGCTCCAAAGTTGCATATAGCCAGTAAATATTGGAGAAGGGACTCAAATCTAGACCTTTAGTTTATGTCCAGTGTTCTTTTGTCCATACTGTGTGGTGTCCTATCATGACAAAGCCTGGCTTTCCTCATAGTTCAGTCTTCTCCCTTTATTAAATTTACAGGGAGTGGGTTCATTGATGTACTCTGTTTCACATCCTACGTCCCAGTCTTCTCAGTACATATTCCTCCATCAAATCTTCTGTCATTTAAGTACAGATAGTCTGCAACTCCTAAAACAAATTCCTCCATGACAAGGAAATCACTTCTTCCTTATTTATTACTGTAGTTAAACATATTATTTTTAAATCTTGTGGGATTCTAAAATAAATTATTTAAAGAGATCTAAAAGTTTTAAAAAGTAGGAAAACACACTGGATTTATGAGTTATAAAATCCAGATTTAGAGTTATATGGGATCTTTAAAGACTACAGAAACAGATAAAGTTGTAGGGACCTTAGGGGTTATTCCAACCCCTCATTTTTATAGTTGAATGAATTAAGACCCAAAGAAGTGAAGTGATTGTACTCAAGGTCATATAGTAAATTACAGGCCTGAGATTTGAACTCAGGTCCTTGAGTCCAAATCTTCTTTCCTCTACACTAGTCAGCCAGTCAGTCAAATAATATTTATTAAGGGCCTATTATGTGGCAGGCACTGTGTTAAGCACCGGGATACAAAGAACAGCCAAAACAAAGCAAAACCAAAAAACCCAGAACAATCACTGCTCTGAAAGATATCACAATCTAATTTTTTTTTTAAATGACCTCCAGAGGATTCTGGCTCTATAACTTTCTCACTGTATGACTTTGGACAAGTTACTTCCCTTCTTTTTGTCCTCAGTTTTCTCATTTGTAAGATGGCAATAATTTATACTACCTACCTCACAGGATTATAAAGTGCTATCTAATCAAATGCTATCTAAAAACACAAATTAGTATTAATACACAATAGAAATTAGTGTTCAGTACAGAACAGAGGTGATGAATCTTTATCAGAAAGTCAAATATTACTCTAAAGAGTTCACATCAAGTTGCAATGTAAACTATATGTTTAATGCATCGGAGAATCTCACCTGTGTAGGTACTCTACCCATGAAGATAACAACTGCACTATGTCTTCTTGGTTTAGGGGCTTTTTGTCTACACTCATAAATCCTCCATGGAATATTTGCCTGAAAAGTTGGAGATCCTCTCATACGCTTAGCAAAGAGTGCATTTTCCCCATACCTCCATTAAAGTTCTAATCTAATCGTCTCATTAAAGTGTGGAGATAACTTTGAGTTCTAGATAGCTCAGCAAGCTAAAAAAAAACATCCAGTTTGGGTACAGGGAAAAACTTTAAGTCTTATTTGAGGACTGCCACAGTTAAGTTTAAAGAGGCTCATCAGTAGATTAGCTGCAAGGTGATGAATTTTTCAGGTAAAACAACTCTCAAACTCTGGTTATCAAGTCTCTATGATCTGTCATGATCCACATCCACAGACTCCTGAAC